AGTTGAAAGTAAACATAATCTATTTTTGGATTAATTTTGAGGCCAGCGAAGCTGGAACGGTTCCTCCTGGACGGTACAAGTACCCTGGAGCACTGGAACAACGTTTGGGGAGATTTCCAGAACCCACGCTTTCCAACTTCAACCGGGTTACTGTATGTGCATACAATCATAACCCCATGCCAGGGTCAGAGGATTAATGGGGAGGACATCATATGGATCCCAGGCCATGAAATATGATACCACGCATACACATACAGCTCCAGGCTCGGCCCCACTGAAGATTTGAAAGAAAGAAGACCGCTATATAATGTATTAATTTGATGATTAAGAAAATGGTGTTATTAAACCGAGACACCAATAATATGTATACAGATCGTTCACTTGCAAAGATACTTCGGGTGCTTGATATATTAAATATTAATTTAATTAATTCTTTATTTATTTACTTATTTTTAGCGAAATTGGTTTGTCAGATACCATTGTTGTGAATTGAAAAGTCCCAAACTGTCGTAGTTTACACACAAAAAAAACATTATGTGCAGCCATCTAGCGACGGTAATCGAAACTATTGTGAAATGTAGAAGTAACTCTCCTAAGTAGTGGTTTTCCTTTTATTTTCTCACAAAAACGCGAGTAATAGGAGAAGGTAATAACATTGCTCTTATATACAAATTGGGCGGGCAATTTTTTCACATCTTGCCTATCTGTCAGGCAAAGTAATTTTCATCTTAACATTAGAAATACTTTTGTGCATCAGAAAATTTCGAACTTTCATATGCGAAATTTTTATAATGTCCAAATAGTTACCAAACGTTTCCTAAGAGAAAACTTTATATTTTGTATATCTTGTCTCCAGTAATCAATTTCTGTTCGGGTCCGGAAAATTTGAACGATCTCGCAACCACCATAAAAAATTATGAAATAAACCTAAATTATGCATCTTTCATTCTGGAATGAACACAAAGGGATTTAAATTGATAGTTATTGGACGAGCATGAGGACGTGTTTGTTGTGCAAATATCCTGTTTCGTTTTTATAAGCTCCGAAGAGAAATAGATATTTTTCTCACCGAAAAGGATAGAGCTGATCCACTTCTGTCAGAGTAGATACGGCTATCATACATGTATATATATATGTGTGTATATATATATATGTTAGTTTATCATTCCCAAACTAACAATGAAATTACCTTTATTTTAAATTCTCTTGTTCCTGATCTGTTATGCAAACACGATTAAGCGATTCGAACATCACGAGTAATTAAAATCAGTTGTCGTACATTTACAATTTTAAATATTCACATTTTATGGTGCCCTCTAGCCGAATTATTAAATAAGAAAATGCTCGCGGGATGACCTTACTACAAACGTTTGAGAGGTTACCATGGATACGTGTAAGAAAGAGTCATGCTTGGAAGATATGGTTTGGTTTTGAACCTTCGTGGCTGAGAATTGTAGTAAACGCTTTTCTTTTATAACAAAATTACTTGTAATAAATCCGATTAATTTATATTTCAGACTTATGAAAAATTACGTTAACACTCGCTAATATATATATATTTTACGGACTCTTTCACGAGGAAAAGTGCGGGAATGCGACGAAACATGGGTTATAACATCACATTTAGGGTACACTAAGCTTTAGTGTTTTAAGGAAATCAATATACGCTCGAAGGCCATATTCAAATTAAGCTGAAGAAATGTTGAGTTGATTCATATTTTGGTCCCTAGATGGCACTTCCCATTATTTATAAACTAAAGGTTAATAAAAGAAATTAGACTCCGTGTAAGTTCATAAAATTAGAAAAATTCACATGTAACACTTAAGAACTCGTGCCAAAAGTCCTCTGTCAAGTATTAAACTAAGAATATTTATACATGTTTCATAGCTTCACATATTCTGCAAAAAAAAATAATAAAATAAATAATAATGCTCGAATACATTTATAACACGCAATAGAAAAAGAACCAGTATATAATGACGCAGTAAAGTGATATTTTTTGTTGTAACCTTTGACACTGTATCCGTAGAAACGTGTTGTAAACAACTGAGTAGTATCTTTGAAGGCAGGTTAACACCACAAATAAAGCATTTGGATCAACACGTTATTTACTTTTCTACACGTTTCACCTATACTGTAACAACTGTAATGACGTATTTAGAAGAAACGAAGTCTTGCTCCCAAATTGATTTAAAATATTTTTATATCTCTTTATTGGTAAATTTCTTTAATATGGTTTCACAATTAATTGCCTCATATTAAAATCATACGTTTAGTCTGATTTAGTGATTACATCTATAAGAAAGTGCCTGCATTTCGCTTTACTGAAAAACGCGAGTCAAATAACTGTTATATACCGTAAAGATGTCAGAACACAGAAATAATTGTTGTATACTATAAGGACGTCAGAACACAGAAATAATTGTTGTTTACCGTAAAGACGTCAGAACACAGAAATAATTGTTGTTTACTATAAGGACGTCAGAACACAGAAATAATTGTTGTATACTATAAGGACGTCAGAACACAGAAATAATTGTTGTTTACCGTAAAGATGTCAGAACACAGAAATAATTCGATGACGAGGAACCCACTTTGAGACTAATAATGGCTGGAGACGGCTTAAATGGGTAATGAAGAAAAACTTTAATATAAGCTTAACATGACAGCAAATGTACAACGTTTCGACAAGGTTTTGTCATCATCAGGTACCCTGAACACAGAAATAATTGTTGTTTACTATAAGGACGTCAGAACACAGAAATAATTGTTGTTTACCGTAAAGACGTCAGAACACAGAAATAATTGTTGTATACTATAAAAACGTCAGAACACAGAAATAATTGTTGTATACTATAAGGACGTCAGAACACAGAAATAATTGTTATTTACTATAAGGACGTCAGAACACAGAAATAATTGTTGTTTACCGTAAAGATGTCAGAACACAGAAATAATTGTTGTTTACCGTAAAGACGTCACAACACAGAAATAATTGTTGTTTACCGTAAAGATGTCAGAACACAGAA